GAGGAGAAAAGAAATGGGGAAGGAAATGAATTGGGGAGGAGAAGGAATGAAATGGGGAAGGAAATGAATTGGGGGAGTATAAAGGAAATGGGAAGGGGAGGAGAAGGAATGAAATGGGGAAGGAATGAATTGGGGGAGGAGGAAGGAATGAAATAGGAGGGGGGGAGGGAGAAGGAAATGAAAATGGGGAAGGAAATGAATTTCTGTGGGAGGAGAAGGAAACCCAGAAACTGGGGAAGGAAATGAATTGAAAGGAGGAATGAAATAGGGAGGGGGGGAGGAGAAGGAATGAAATGGGAGGGGAGGAGAAGGAATGAAATGGGGAAGGAATGAATTGGGGAAGGAGAAGGAATGAAATGGGAAGGGGGGAAGGAGAAGGAATGAAATGGGGAAGGAAATGAAATGGAGGGGGAAGGGAAGGAATGAAATGGGAGGGGGGAAGGGGAAGGAATGAAATGGGAGGGGGGAAGGAATGAAATTTGAGGAGAGGGGGAGGAAGGAATGAAATGGGGGGGGAAGAAATGAAATTTGAGGGAGGGGGGAGAGGAATGAAATTTGAGGGGGGAGAGGAATGGAATTTGAGGGAGGGAGGGGGGAGAGGAAGGAAATTTGAGGCAGGGAGAGAGGAAGGAAATTTGAGGGAGGGAGAGAGGAAGGAAATTTGAGGGACGGGGGGAGAGAAAGGAAATTTGAGAGACGGGGAGAGGAAGGAAATGAGAGGGAGGAGGAGAAGAAGGAAATTGGAGGGGGGAAGAAGGAAATTGGAGAGGGAGGGGGAGAAGGAAATTGACGGGGGGGGGAGGGGGAGAGATTGACATCCATCACACACAATGCACCCCTTGCACACAGAAAAACACACAATGCATTACACACAGACACACGTACACAAGCAATGCATCCCTTACACACAGCAACACACAATGCACCCCTTACACACACTCAATGCATCCCTTACAGACGCACACACTGCATCCCATACATACACAAACTCATCTTGCAGCCCTTACACAGATTCACACAATGCATTCCTTACACACATCAGGACATCCCCCACACACACACACACACTCCACTCCCTGTGAACAAACTCATTGGTGGAACATGAAGGTGGACCCAGGGACCCAGACATTGAGCTGTGTAAAGGGCCCTCAAAAAAATGGAGCTGCTTCCCGTTCTCCCAGAACAGTGATTTTTGTGACCAGTTACAAACCGCCTCCAGAGAGCCTGTTGTACACCAGACCAGTGGAGCCAGACGGCAGCTAGAGCCCATCTTCATCATCCTCATCTGGTTGTAAGTAGGCAATCTAGTATATTATTCGTGGCACTAATCTCTAATTTACCTCACATTAAAGAGACACTATAGTCCCCAGAACCACTGCAGGTTAATGTAGTGGTTCTGGTGTCTAGCCTGTCCCTGCAGGCCTTTTAATGTAAACACGGCGGCACTGCAGCACTGCTGTTAGTTAATATGGCAGATCACATGGGTGGGGCATTGTGATGTCACATGGGGGGGCGGCAAACTTTACTTTTGCCTAGGGCGGCAAAAATCCTTGCACCAGCCCTGTAGACACTGCATCCCTGTGGGCGGATTCGGGGGGGGCAGCACTTTGGGCGGACTCGGGTGCAGGCACCGGGGGGCCCAGACCTTGAGCTGTGTCAGGGGCCCCAACATTTCTGATGGCAGCCCTGGTGTGTGCCTGTCAGTGAATGGATGTGTCAGAGTGTCTGTCAGTCAAACTGCGTGTTCGTCTTAAACAGGTAGGGGCAGGGCAAATTTAGATGGGGCGGGTGTAAGAATATTAAATAGTTAACTTGTTTATATGTATTTTATGCTTTTATAAGGTTTATAACATGATTATTGCTGACTGAAGGAATATTGAATACTTACATAATATGCTGACTGTGACAGACTAAAGTATTTCTTCTATAGGATGTAAGACAATGCTAAATTTCAGGATGTCTTGCCCATTCCGATTTTAAGGATATTCTTTTCCAGACGTATGCAAAAGCTTATCTTTCCATTGTCAGAATATCGTAATACAAGGAAGTAATAAATCTTATAGTCTGTACTGTATTTGCATATACCATGGCTAATGTAAGCAAACTATGTATAAAAGCCAGCTCTGGAATACACTCATTTGAGAGTCTTGTAAAGCTGTTGTCCGTGTGTTATTGCTTACAAATGATTCTCCATCAACGTTGATTATGGTGACCGAGGGATCGAGAACCGAGGGGATTAGAGTCCATTACAACATTAACCCTTTCAGATTGGTGTCTAGAAGTGGGATGGATAGAAGTTGGATCAGCAAAACCATTTGCGGTGAGTAGCCTTTTTGTGTCTTATTTGACGCTGATTGTCTATGACCCCCGTTTGGTTCAGTAAGACTGTATCCAGTAGATAGGAAAGGTGTAAGGACTCTAGTTATATTGAGACTATAAGAGGTCTCCGGTTTATTAGACATTTGGTCTAAATATATAGGGTTTTGGTAACCCAGGTTAGTATCTAAGATAGATACAGGTTTTTGAGACCATAAGAGGTCTCCGGTTTATTATAGGGTTTTGGTAACCCAGGTTAGTATCTAAGATAGATACAGGGTATCTCAGGTAGATACAGGTTTTTGAGACCATAAGAGGTCTCCGGTTTATTAAGTCTATAGGTGTTCTGAGCAGCACGGTTTGTAGATCTATAAGTATAACCCAAACTTCTCTTTCTCCCGGTCACCTTTGTTTGTCTTAAGTGTTTTTTGTGGGTGATTGTTTGTCTATATTGGGGACACACTTTGGTAAGTTAGTAGTGTCCCCACTCTGAGTCAGCAGTATGGGAAATGTGAGTTCATGTCCTGAGTGACCAATATATGTATGTATATATGTGTATATGTATGTATATATGTGTGTGTATATGTATATGTGTATATATAAGATAGCAGTACTTTTAAACAAATGGAGGTTTTAAAAATACATAGGGATTAAGGAGAGAACGCAGGTAACTTGTTTTTCTTTGGTTTTTACCATATATTGGGGCTGATGTGTACTGTAGTCCTTGCTGCTGCCCAGTAGTGATGGGAGTGAGCGCAGGACTTATCTTTCTGCAAGATAGCAGTACTGTATATTAGAAAAGAAATGACTCACAGGTTGTACCTGATAGACCTACTTAAATCTTTTTGCTTTATTCTTTCTGTCGCATAGAAGTATAAGTTTATTACTCTGTTTTATTGTAAGTTATTTCACATGGGATCTATGTGCCTGGTATGATTGTTGCTTTAAAAATACTATAAGCCCACTACACTTATTATGAGAGTGGGATAGTGTAAATGTGTTGCATTGTTTGCATGATGAGCTCAGTATATTTTATAACTGAGACAAAAAGTCACTTCATTAGTATTTGAAAGTTAATTCCCCATATGGGATTAATTGTATAGAAACACCAATCAGCACATCTTCCCTGCCCTGTGTGTTTGTTGCAAAGGATCCATACTGTAAATATGATTTTTGTTTGAAAATAACAGAGCAACATTTACATTTTCAGCGGTCCAACACATGCTTTATTTTGCACTGTAAACTAACCTTTTATTGCAACAGGTTCCTTTTAAATGATCCAGTGTAATAACTACTGCTTGTGTCTTCTATGTCTCACATTATGTGTTATTTTAAATTGTGGTATATAGCCTGAATCAGACATCATGGACAAAAGGTTTTTACCTGTGTTACTAAGGGCTCTTGGAGACTGACCGGTCTAAAGGTTTGCCATGCCTTTAAAACATGGTACAGTATAAATTTTTAAGTCTCTGAGAGTTCTGAAAGATTCAGGTGAAACCATGTCTGTTTAATCTGGTCCAGATGTTTGTTCAATTTCTATAAGATTTAAGTTGATGCAGCATCATCTCAGATTAGTTAATGGTAGTTTTATACAAATAGTTGAGTTATGAGCGCGCTATATAAATGGATCCTTTCTTTAAATACAATACTATAGTAGATTAAAGTAATGAAGTTAATTAAGAAAATGTATACATAAGAATCCCTAAAATAAATCTAAACTAAAATTGGTATACCTTCCAATAATATGTTCTGAATACAGCTGTTAACTGTTTATTTTGTGTAAATGGTGATTGTGATAATGTGTGATAAGTGTGCAGTTTAACTTGAAAGTGGTTTAATTTATGTTGCTGTATTGTTTTAAATTATATGTGAATCAGTTTGTCACAGTCTAGTGATACTGATAAGAATGACAGCCAAATAACCTAGCAAATAACTGTTTTATTAGTTGTTGAATACTAGCGTTTTGGCCAAGAATAGTTGGAGATTTGGAGGTGTTAGTTTAAGATTGCTTTTATATTGTGTCTATCTGTGTTTCCTAGGAGGGAGACAGAGTGTGTAGTTGTGTGCCCATAAATGTGATTTCTGTATTGGCATATCTGCTGGGTACCCATTATGTGTTTCTACAAAAATATTGTTTTGTGAGATGACGTGTAATATTACATTGGATGCTGAGTATGAGTTATATGGTTTGAAATGAATTGGTGATTATGAGCTTAGTACTTCAGTAAGATGTGCTAAAATTTGGAACAAGGTGGAAGCTGAAATGTTGGGATTATGGAAGAATAGGTAGTCTATATTCACTGCTTTGGCATTTAAGCAGGATGCAAAGGAAGAGATTGGTAATATGATTTTTGTAAAGAAATTTTACAAGTGTTGGAAGGATGAGGCAGGTTTGATGTCTGGAGATGATATAGATCTCTTTAAAATATAGTCATGCCTTGGTAATATGTTGCCACAGTATTATTTGCTTGTGAAACAATTGATTTCAGACTGGGCCAATTTGGATAGCTCAGATTTTCTTACCAAGGTTATAGAAAAGGAAAATGCAGGTTGTTTTGAATTAAGAAAAGATTTAGGAAAGTAAGGTTGCTTATTATGCTCAGGGATTGCAACATATTATGTCCAGCTACACAGGCTGAGGGCGAGGATGGGATGGAGCACATAAAGCCCGCGGAAGGGGTGGTCAAAGAGGGGCAAGGGGATGGAGACAGGGAAATCAGGGTTATAGGGGCAGGGGTAACCAAGGAGGAATAGACAGGAACACTTGTTTCAACTGTGGACAATATGGCCACTGGAGGAATGAGTGTCCACACCCCAGGAAACCCCAGGAAACCCCACACACCCCAACAACCCCACCTTTCTCAAAATATGCCCTGTAGGCAAGAACAACACCAGACCCACTCCCAACACCACTGGCCAGCATATCGCTTAGTTCAGGACTTTAGAGCCCTGAATAGTTTAATTGTGCCCATTTCACCCATTGTCCCTGATGTGACATCCCTCATTACAGCCATTCCACATGATGCCACTTGCTTCACTGTCATTGATTTAAGTAATGCATTTTTTTCTATACCTATTGATCAAGAGACACAGCTACTTATGGTTTTTACTTTTTGAAGGCTGTCAGTTTACCTGGACACGCTTACCCAAGGCTATGTGGATTCCCCAGCTGTTTATTCGTTGGTACTCCAACATACTCTAAACAACATGGACCACCGGTCATGGTTCCGTCCTTTTTGCAAAATGTTGATGATTTGTTGTTATGTAGCCCTAGCTATGAGGCAAGCACTGTGGATACTGTCAGCAACTATAGGTCACAAGGTTGTTAAACACAAAATGCAATTGTGTAAATCAAAGGTTGAATACTTAGGTTTTGTTCTGGCTTTAGGCACCAGACAATTGAGTCCAAAACGTATTGAGGTCATTCAGAGGATTCCTACACCCACTACTCGGAAGGAGTTGCTCACCTTCCTCGGCATGATTAATTACTGCCACCATGGATCCCTGAATGCTCCCATTATGACTCAATCCTAAGGGAGGCTGTACGTTCTGACAGCCCTGAAAATGTCTGCTGGTCACCAGACATGCTAGCTGCATATATTGCCCTTACAGTTGTTATTGTGCAAGCCCAGGCTTTAGGACTACCTGTGTATTGTAAACCATTTCATTTGTATGCTTGGGACAATTGTAAAACCATGGCCGCGGTCTGTGCACAAGAGCAAGGAGGCGGTATGCGTCCCATAGCATTCTTTTCCAAAGTAGTTCGAGCTCCGGTACAGGGTATGCCGGCGTGTCTCAGAGCATTGATAGCATGTGCAATGGCTGTTGAAACTGCTACTACTATCACACTAGGGCATCATACAATACTTCATGCCAGTCACCAGGTCACTCAGCTGATAACAAATCTCACCACACAACACATGACAGCCCAGCACTTAAGTGGTTATGAGATTTTTTTTTTTTTAAATACCCAGAATCTGTCTTTTGGATTAAACAAGGTTTAGAGAAAGATCAAAATGATCTGTTCTCTAAAGAGGGGAGAATAGGCATACTTGAAGAATAGGCATACTTGAAGCAAGCTGATTTATTTTCATCAGTCAGGCACATAGCAAGCACCATTCAATTCTTCATGAATTCATTTTATATTAGGAATCTCAGGCAGCATGTACAGTCTTTTGTAAGATCGTGTGAACGCTGCTCTTTTTACACACTTACAGATTGATTTTATTCATGTATCCAAAATTGGTAAGAAACAGCAATACTTACTGGTCATAGTTAATCAGTTTAGTAGATGGCATGAGGCCTTTGTGACATCTAGGGAAGATGCTAGTGAAGATTATTGTTACTGAAATTATTCCCAGGTATGGCTGCCCTCTGCAGATTGGCTCTGATAATGGCCCGGTATTTGCCAGTAGGGTTGCCCAGGAACTTGCTAAATTCTTGCAAGTTACCTGGCAGTTTCATATACCCTATCATCCACAGAATACAGGGGTAGTTGAAAGGATGAATAGGACTATTAAGGAAAAGCCCAGAATTTACCCAGGAACATGGGTAAATTGGACTAGATATCTACCAGCTATTTTAGCTGAGATAAGAGTGATTCCTCACAAGGTGACTAAATTATCTCCATTTGAGATTTTGATGGGATGACCTTTTCCCACACCCTGGGCCAGGGAACTGCTTGTTATAATGTCTGGGGATTTACAGCTAATACAAGAACAATATGTACAGGAGTTGTTGATAAAACTGAATGGTATGTATGACAATGTTTCTTCGCAGTTTTCCCTTACCTTCACAGGAACCTACTCATTCATACCAGCCCGGTGACAAGGTGTATATCCGTCAGTTGAACAGGACCAAGAAAGGAGGATACCCTTTTGGACCACCTGCTACTGTGATTGCTGTACCCATAACCGCTGTCCTCACAGATTCCCACGACATCTGGATTCACGCATCCCGAGTGAAGCTGTGTCCAAAGAGGGGAACCAAGGAAGACAACACCACTCCTCGCTCGGAAACAGAAGAATTTCTCCTCAGCGAAGCATCATGGCTTTTACACCATATCGTAGATTGAGAGGATCATACGTACCTGAGACCAAGATTATGTTGTGTGCTATGCTTTCTGGAGTTGTTATACTCCCTCTGATATTGTTCCTTGAATGCCATTATGAGTACAAGTCAATGGCAAGTTCTGAAAAAGACTCTGACATGATGAACAATTCTTCAATACCCCCAGCCCAATTAGGCCTTAGCCCCTCATCTAGCATTCGTCACACACGCCCCCTCAAGAACCTTTCTCCACCACCTTTCTATCAGCATGCAATATGCAATCATTCATTCACTGAACGCATTTGGATGAATTGGACAAATAGTAACCCTTATAAGTACCAGTTACCCATATGGAATGTGTCCACAGCTAATGAAACCGATGCATTATGTTTGTTTGAAGGTTCACAGAAAATTGTTAGATCTTATAACGCAGAAATGTGCACAGTTAAGGTTGCATATCAATGTAAACAGACAGGCCTTATTACTTTTAATAATGATTATATAACTGGTATCATTAATTGGAAAAAGGGACAAATGTTAGTCATTATGAACGACACTACAATTGAGAACTATACACTACCTTATATTTTTACACCTTATTACTGTCCTTTATTCTCTACCATAGAACCAAAAGTCAACAACGACACACACACACACACCTATTTCGTCCACATGTATTAATACAACTGCCTTCTTACAAGCTGTACATGTGTCATTAAACGTCACTACTCTTGTTGTAACATTATGTAACACAACAAACAAAAGGCAGAAAAGGGAATGGTATGACACACTGTTAGATGGTGCTGGAA